GTTCTATTTAGCTCAAACCAGGACAAATATCCAGTGCTCTCCCCTCATCTACAGGGACAGTAATTTCATTATAGAAGGTTATCAAGTTGGTCAAGCATGACTTTCCCTTGCTGAATCCATGCTGACTACTCCGGATGGCCTTCTTGTCCTTCATATGCCTGGAAATTATTTCCAGCATTAGCTGCTCCATCACCTTCCCAGGGACTAGCCTGTAGTTCCCCAGATCCGCCTTCTTGCCCTTCTTGAAGACAGTTGTAGCATTTGCTACAGTCCTCAGGCATTTCTCCTAATCATCATAATTGATCAAAGATTATCAAGAATGACCTTGCAATGACATCAGACATCTCCCTCAGCACTTGTGGGTGCATCCCATCAGGGCTCTTGGACTTATGTATATCCAGTTTGCCTAAGTATTCCCTGACCTGACTCTGTTCCACTAAGGGTACATCTACCTTACTCCAGACTTTCCCCCAGTCTTAGGGTCCTGGGTTTCCTGAAGGCCGGTCTTTCTAGTAAAGACTGAGGCAAAGGTGGTACTCAGTATCTCAGCCTTTTCCATGTCCTGTATAACCAAGGTCCCTTGTCTCAACAAGAGAATGTTGAAACACAAAATGCCCACATTTTCCCTGGTCTTTCTTTTTTCACCTATGTACTTATATAAGTCCCTCTTGTTGTCTTTGATATCCCTGGCCAGATTCAGTTCTATTTGGGCTTAAGCCAAATGGATGCTCGGACATGCATGCCTGGATGCATGGACATCTCTGTATTCCTCCCAGGTTACCTGTCCCTACTTCCATCCTCTATATGCTTCCTTTTTGTGTTTGAGTTTGACTAGGAGCTCCTTGTTCATCCACATAGGCCTCCTGGCTTTTTTGCCTGACTTCCTGCTCATTGAGATGGACCTCTCTTGAGCTTGGAGGAGGTGATCCTTGAATATTAACCAGTTTTCTTGGGCCCCTCTTCCCTCCAGAGCTTTATCTGATGAGACTCTTCCAAGAAGAACTTTGAAGAGTCCAAAGTCTGTTCACCTGAAGTTCAGGGTTGTAAGCCTGCTTTTTACCCTCCTCAGGATCCTGAACTCCACCCTCTCATGGTCCCTGCAGCCAAGACTGCCTTTGACCTTCACATCCCCAACAAGCCCCTCTTTGCTGGTGAGTATGAGGTGCAGCAGAGCACCTCTCCTCATTGGCTCTGCTATCACTTAGAGGAGGAAGCTGTCATTGACAGACTCCAAGAACCTCCTGAATTGCTTATGCCCTGCTGTGTTGATCCCCCAGCAGATATCAGGATGGTTGAACTTCCCCATGAGGACCAGGGCCTGTGAATGCAAGTCTACTTCTAGCTGGCTATAGAAGGCCTCATCCACTTATTTTTCCTGGTCAGGCAGCCTATAACAGCCACACACCATAATGTCATCTTTAGTGGCAAACTTACATAGTGTGCACTCAACTCCTGTATTCAGGTCACTGATAAAAACATTGAAAAGAACTGGCCCTAAAATTGAGCCCTGAGGAACACCACTAGTGATTGGCTGCCAGCCATATTACCCCATTTAGCACAACTCTTTGAGCCCAACCCTTCAGCCAACTGGTCACCCACTGTGGTATGCATATCTAGCTGTATGCTGGACATTTTGTCCAGAAGGATACTGTGAGAGACCACATCAAAGGCTTTGCTAAAATAAAAAAAACCCCACATCCACTGCATTCCCTTCGTCCACTAGGTGGGTAAGCTTATCATAAAAGGATATTAAGTTAGCAAGTCATGAATTTCTCTCCATGATCCCATGTTTTTCAATAACACCCAGAATAATCTTCTCCATAATTTTACCAGGCACCAAAATGAGGCTGACAGGCCTATAATTACCAGGGTCTTCTTTCTTGCCCTTCTTGAAAATTGGAATAACATTTGCTAGTTTCCAGTCAACTGGGATCTCACAGGATTCCCAGGACCATTGATAAATAACTGAGAGAGGTCTGACAATAACATAATCTGATTTTTTCATTACCCTAGGATGAAACCCATCAGGCCCCATAGACTTATGTGCATTCAATTGCAGAAGCAAATCCCATACAATTTCAGTCAACTGGGAGCTTATCAATAACCCCAGTCACAGTCCTCCAACTCTGTGGTGATGAGCTCCGGAGGTCCCAGGGCCCATCACTGGTGTTAAAGACAGAAGCGAAGAAGGCATTAGATGTGTCTGCTTTATCTTCATCCCTAATGTCAGCTGAAAGGTAACACTATCAACTGAATGGAAGGAGATTTATCATATGCTCTGCTAGATCTGTCAGTATTATATGAAAATACATGTAAATCCAAGAGGAAAGAAATGAAAATATGTCACATTTTTTGCAAGGGAAATGATCTGAGAAAGTCCTGCTGTTCCCACTATCAAGCCACAGCTTGACTATAGCTTGTTCCTTGAATGTATGAAGTTTCTTACAAGTCCTGCTTCTCAAACTGGGATCCTGTGATGCTTTTCAGACTATGCCTGTTTTTGAAAACAAAGGTAGAAAGAAATTAATACTTTGAAGCCAGTATGTTTATTAGCCCTTCTCCCCACAAGTGTCTATCCTAGGAGATAACATGACACAGTACTTTCTCATCCTTTGCTGAGTGCTTCTGTTTCTGCAGCACAGAAGATCCCAAAAGATTCCCTCATGCTGAGGGAAAAGATTTCCTGCTCTGAGCTAAAAGGGTGCTGGTGAGATCATTGTCTCCAGTTAACTTAAACATGGAAGAGGGACCACAATAAAATAATATCAGCAGACACTTTCTATAGCAACTCACATGCAATAGCCTTGAAGTTCTACAACCAGTAATCTTTTCAAAGCAGCACATTGAAATTCACATATAGGAATCAATTGTAAAGGCAAAAGATGGTAAAAAACAGCACAGTTTTCTGCTTAGAGTTAATTTACCTGTCAAGGTTAGGGCTGGGCTGGCCACTAAATGACTGACAGACACTCTCTATTAACCCCTCGCTCTCTATTAACCACTCTCCCCTCCCCAGAAGGGGAAGAGAAAGAGAATAAGGGAGAGAGACCTATGTCTGGAAAAACATGACGTTAGTTTTAGAAAGTGCAGTCACTTAGAAGAGACTTAACTGAAAAGTAAGCTCACTAAATAGAGAATTAGTTCTATTTAGCTCAAACCGGGACAGGCAGCTAGCTACAAAGTCTAGGCATTGTACTTTAGAAATAGATCACCCTTGGAGGCCAACCTGTCAATATAAATCCAGAGCACCTGTATGTCCTAAGTGTAGCCAACCCAACATCATACGATCAGAGGTGGAGAGAGTATATATGTTATGTGGAAGATGAATATTACTGCTCCTTCTAGGTTCTTTAGACAAAAATATCTACTTTATGGTTCCATCTGGATGCTAGATCTGAGCCTTTTGTATGTTCTGATACATGCCCTATTTGAAGAGGATTCCATCATCCTGCTTTGCTCAAGCTATTAAATATAGCCATTCCCATACTTATTTTCCCCAGACTTCTCTTCCTTTATTTTTCTATCCTTTAGCTTTCTAGTATGGGAACCACTGAGAGGCCCCAGCTAACTCTGCATAGTAATCAGTATATGTATATTGTGTCAATGCCAGTTTTGCCAGATAACCTGGAGCTCGGCAAACTGAGCTCATCCCTCTATCTCTTGTGTTCCAGATGAAGGTCTCAAGAGGGGAGTATTTCCCTTCCATTCCCCTTTAACTCTTTGAGCGGATCCATCTGTAATCCATCTGTAATCAACCAAAGAGTTTTGAATGGCTTTCATTTAAAAGTTAATCCCTGAATCTTTAGCTGTAATTGAATACCTCTGTTAGTATTAGGGACTGTTTAGTGACTTATTTCCTGTTAGTTAAAACATGAACAATTAGAAAAACTGAAGGAAAGCAGAGCAACATATATGATACTGCACAAGAGCAGCACATTTCAGGCCTGATATGAGCAGGACCGTCTGCTTAAATTATGTTTGAGATGTATGTCACATATACTATATTTAGGTGACACTCCAGGACAGTAATTCAGCCTTGATATTGGTTTTGTTATATATTAGTAAAGGTGAAATAAGAGAGTTAATTTGCATCTGTGAGGAAAATGTGTTTTGGTTCAGGCTTGTCTTGTGCTAACTGTATTTTATGCTTTATTTAAAAATCCAGTGCTGAGAAGGTAATGAAAATAAAGACTATATTCCTACTGACTGTAGGGAAGCTGCTCAGCATTTGAGCAGCTGGCCAAAAAGTTGTGTGTGTGTATCTTACCATAATATAACTTAATTTTACAATAGACCAGAGTTTGACAAGAATAAAAAAATGTTTGTAACTTGTGGTCTCATTTAATGTTTATTTTCCTATTATTTCAAAGCACAGCTTCTCAGTTTTAATTTGAGACCTGTCATACAAGGAGGACCATTTTCATAATTGCCTCATCCTCCAACCACAGCAATTCTGCCTGTCTGATAGAGTGTTGGAGCCAAAGGGTATTGGCATGAACAGTGGGAATATTTGGATTGTAGGGCTTAAAGATACATATCATCCAAGTGCAGGGTACATTGAGTACTTCTGTTTGTAGGCCGTGCACTCTAGAGGCTGTCAAAATGGAAGCTAAAAAGCTAAATAAATATTGGCTCTGTACTCTCTACAGACCCATGCCCCCAACCTCATTTGGAAGAACCCTACAGCAAAGGCTTTGTTCATAGCTTATCTTTTGTTATGGTTTGAAAATGTCAGCACTGAAATATTTAATAGTCTCTCCCTACCCTTTGAAAACAACACATTTAGTCATCACCCTGGAAATGAGAGACAGAGTGGCATGCTAGCCTGTGAGAGGGCAGCTGGGCATTGTACCTTTGGCACTACCAAGTCCTGCAGATGAGTGGTGGCACACTGAGAGTGGCTGGCTGGGAGCTCAAGGCCCCACAGCATCTCTTCATGGGATCAAAGCATGTGCAGTAAACCTGGTTTCATGCTGACAGTGAGTTTTCTGGCACCTGGTTGAGTGGCAGCTGAGTCTTGTGGAGGTACACTTCTAAGACGTGCTACCTTCCTGGCTGGAGGTGGCTCAGGGCATCCCAGGCCTCTCTTCTAGTTTATTTCAGCACCAGGCTCACCTCACACATGTACACATTATTATTAAGTATATATGCAGTGTTCTGAGGTTGCATCTTCATAGACTTATGATTTGGAACATTTGTATTTTCCTTTCATAGACTGTGGCCCTTTTCCCCAAAGCTGGTGATAGCAAGGGGGGCAGGCTGTGTCATTTCTCTCCACTGTTAATAGCAGCACTCCTTTTTACATTCTTTAGTAATGGAGATAAGGTATTTTCTAAGTAAATGGACACCTAGTTTGGAACATGCATGTGGTCAAGCACGGAGCCTGAGGTTGGTCCACACCTGAATATATCCCAGACTCTGAGTTGTTTACCCAGCAGCATTCACTGTTATGTATGCTCTACAGCATTCATCCAAGCACAATGATAAATAGTTTTTTCCCACATGACTCTTAATTCTACGTCTTTTTATCCAGCAAATGCACTACCTTACAAATATAAATATATTAACACATTCTTTTTGGACAAAGTGCTAATGAATGACATATAGGCACATTTATTCATTTAATGATATGCACTGCACTGTACGGCAAACCTGTCTCTGTAAGCACAGGCCCCTTCCTGTTGTGGCCTTGAAGTTCACTTTTGACCTCCTTTTTGTGTTCTGTTCACAGATGTTCAGCACATCAAGCGCCACAATATTGTTCTTAAAAGAGAACTTGGAGAAGGAGCCTTTGGGAAAGTCTTTCTGGCTGAGTGTTATAACCTCTGTCCCAAGCAAGACAAGATCTTGGTGGCAGTGAAGGTAAAAGAGTCTAGGGTTTCCATTATCAATTTATGGTTGCAGCTAGTGCTGTTTTATTTGTAAATTATCATGTTTGCCTATTCTGTAGCCCCATGTAACTCCTCTAATATATGTGGAGGGGTTGACAAGGCTAACGGAGCATTAGGAGAACATGAAATTTGATGTTGCTGTGGATTATAAAATGAGAGCTGAATTTTCTAAGGAAAAGAAAGAAACTGATGGTGTCACAAAGGGGCAAAATATTTTATGATCTAAGATATTAGTGAAAAATAACATATAAGTCATTAAAAATGCATGTGACATGTGTGTCTAAAAAAATAATCTATAACCAGATAAGTGAATAGGCTATGTGTATAACTGCTAGTCAAAGAAAGCCTATTTTTCCATGAACTGTGCAATACTTTTAGTCAGTCTTTGAAATTAGCATTATTTCATTATACAACATTTAAGCCTCCCATTTGATCCAGTGATATTTCCTGTAAAATAAAGATATGTAAGTTTTTAAAGCTGAATAAATGGGGAAAAAAATAAAATTCACCCCCTAAAATTCTGTTCTACATCTACTTCCTCTCTGTCCATCAATTTAAGATTGATCCTCCAGTTGCTTATGCATATGCTTAATCTTAGACATATGAGTAGATTTACTGAATACCAAAAGAGTTTCTGGCTGAGGTCTCAGATTGTAAGTTCTGGTCCAGGAATGTACCTCTCTATAAATCTACATAAGGTATAGCACACTGTAGGGGCTAATACCAGCAACAATGTTAATAATAAATAAGAAATGCATCTACATTCCCGGTAAGCATTTTAAGCAAACAAAACTTTGCTTTAAGGAACTTACAACAAAGGTAAATACCAAGATGATACGAGTTTTCATAGACACATATAATGATTTTGGTTGGAAAAGACCTTTAAGATAAAGTTTTGCTTGAGTTAAATGCTAAAGGCCATAGATCAGCTGTGTACTAGTATGTTTTTCAGAGAAGATAATTTTTTGTTCTGTTTTTTTGGAAAACACTTGGCACAGTAAGATCATAAGTATTCCTGCATCCTCTTAAAATAAAAATCATTGTATGGGATGATGTGTAGCAGAGGAATGTAAATTGTACCACCATTAATTAATTGCAATTGCATCACATCTACACTGCTAAAACAGTTACTAAGAATGTACTTTTCCTGTACTTTACACAGTAGTGTCCTTATCTTACCCTACAGTGCTTTCCCACATTTGCTGCCTTCTGTTAATATCTCCCCTTCCTTACATATTCCTTTCCTCCACCAGATGCTGAAGGATGCCAGTGACAATGCCTGCAAGGACTTCCACCGTGAGGCAGAGCTGCTGACTAACCTGCAACATGAGCACATCGTCAAGTTCTATGGCATCTGTGTTGAGGGTGATCCACTCATCATGGTCTTTGAGTATATGAAGAACGGAGATCTTAACAAATTCCTCAGGTAAATCCACCATCATGTCTTGTACTGGAAAGTCAGAAGTGGGCAGAGAAGGTAGGCATTGCTGGTACTTAATGCCAAATTAACTGCTCTCACTGAAAAATGTGGACATCTAAGAGTGAAAATCTGTGCGACACTCTGCTGATTCATCTTGCGTACTGTGATTGTTTCTTTACCTATTTGGAAGTACTATTAAGTTAATCCTGACACTTTCCACCAAAAGAATGGGAACCAAAGGAATAGTGTTTTCAGTATATTTCAGCATATTCTGAAATTTTTGTTTATAAAACTTTCAGTAGTAATTGTTTCCTTGCCTCTTTTCTGCTAGCACTTGGGAAGATCCCACTCAGCACCCATCTCTATCTGCAGATGTCTAAAAGCTTTTGAGAATCTACTTCCCTCCTCTTAGTGTTTTGATAGGGTTCCATTAATCTGCAACAAGAAAAATTTGAACCTCAGAAATCTCATTACAATGGAAATTACTACATCTTGGGGCTAGTTTGGGTCTTTTTTTAAAAAAAAGCTATTCAGGAATGTGCATCTGAAATTGAAATTTGGTAGTGAAGCAGTAATAAATAAATAGGTGATACCTATGGTTCACAAGAATAGATAACTCATGAACCAGTAAGTTATGTCCAATGGCCTTGTGCATGTACAATTTCTTCTAGCCTGCACTTGTTGACATAAAAATAAACAGTTCAGAGACGTTAGCACCTACATAAAACATTTGCATAAGGGAATGTTCATTCAACATCTCCTATGTAATTTCCATCAATGGGTACATGCTGATTTTGGCTTGGATAGAGCTCATTTTCTTCATAGTAGCCAGTATGAGGCTATGTTTTGGATTTGTGCTGAAAACAGTGTTGATAATACAGGGATATTTTTTTGTTATTGCTGAGCAGTGCTTCTCACATCACCACACCAGCGAGTATGCTGGTGCACAAAAAGTTGTGAGGGAAAACAGACAAGAGAGCTAAACCCAACTGACCAAAGGGGTATTCCATGCCATATGATGTCATGCTCAGCAATAGAACTGGGGGAGGTTGGTGGGGGAAGCACAGCTCGGAGACTGGCTGGGCATCGGTTGGTCAGTGGTAAGCAGTTATTTTCATTTTCATCACTTGTCTTTCTTGGGTTTTATTTCCATCTATCAGTTATTTTACTTTTCATTACAATTTATTAGTAGTAGTATTATATTTTATGTAATTTCAATTATTAAACTGTTTTTATCTCAACCCACGAGTTTTCTCACTTTTACCATTCTGATTTTCTCCCTACATCCTGCTGAGAGGAAAGTGAGCAAGCAGCTATGTGGTGCTTAGTTGCCAGCTGGGGTTAAACCACAAGTTATCATAGAATCATAGAATGGTTTAGGTTGGAAGGGACCTTAAAGATCATCTAGTCCAACCCCCCTGCCATGGGCAGGGACACCTCCCACTAGACCAGGTTGCCCAAAGCCTTGTCCAGCCTGGCCTTGAACACTTCCAGGGAGGGGGCATCCACAACTTCCCTGGGCAACCTGTTCCAGTGTCTCACCACCCTCACAGTAAAGAATTTCTTCCTAATATCTAGTCTAAAACTACCCTCCTCCAGTTTAAAACCATTCCCCTCATTCTATCGCTACCTGTCCTGGTAAAAAGTCCCTCCTCAGCTTTCCTGTAGGACCCCTTCAGGAACTGGAAGGCCACAATAAGGTCCCCCCAGGTCCTTCTCTTCTCCAGGCTGAACAATCTCAACTCTGTCAGTTGGTCCTCGTAGGGGAGGTGCTGCAGCACATGTATCACAAAGGCATTTCAGTGTCTTGAGATCTCTTCTGCCTGAGGATAACTAGGGGACACCATAATTTTGGAAAGATATCTGTGTAATGCATGCTACTGACAAAGCTGTAAAACAATCAAACTAATGTCCCTTTAAATGGGATTGAATTTTCTATCTGACTGAAATTGCTAGTGATAAGTAGTGTCCTCATTTTTGATAGCCTTGTGAAATGAGTTTGAGGCCTTTCTAATCTCCAGTGAACAAATAGCCACATCATAAAAGCAAAAGGTATCAGCTAGTATCCTCCCTTATTTGCAGAGCTGGCAAGGTTGACAGGGAGACCAGGGGCTGAACTGAGGATGCAGAGAAAACACTACTTTCCTGGGATGATTATCTCTCTGGCAGAGGATTTAAGTATATTGTCATGGCAATATTGGACATTTGCATTTACTCCCTTGGACATCTGCTGTGGATCAGAAGAGAGCTTTAGTTTTCAAAGATGCCAGCCCAGTGCTTTTTCAGAGCACCAAATTTCCATTAGAACAAGCCAAAGTTGCAGCTGATTCATTGTCATACAGAGAAATGTTTATTCTTTGATTAATTTTGATTGGCCTTTTCTTATCTCCTAACTCTGGTTTTGAATTTGTGTAAAGAAAGTTAATTTAGCAGACAGTATATTTCATGGGACAAACTGTTTAACCTAAGCTCCAATTTGTTATTCCCGCTCACATTTTCCACAGCTTGTGCTGCAGCTCAGAGGTTAGTTACAAACAGGCTGTAAAAACTTGTATTTCTTACCCTGCAGCCCCACCAAAGGCTGTCAGGGAAAAATTAGTCTGAAATTTAACCCAAAGGTGCTTGCTGCCTGTGTGCAGCCAAGGGGTGTTTCAGACCTAGGACTACAGCCTCAAAGTCACACCTGTTCTGTGCTTGTTCTGGCTTGCAGAGACCTATGTGAATCCAAAGGAATCTCTGTCAATGTTATCGGTTATTGAAGATACTGAGGAGCTCCTAACTCACAGCCAGCACCAAGAAGATAAGCAAGATGCATTAAAATAATCCAAAAGTTTAATTAGATACAGACCATCTCCTCAAGAAAGCTAGTGAAAGATTAAGAGGTCTCTAAGTTGGCAGACTCAGAGCTTAATACTCGAGAAACAAGGAACAAATCATCCTGAGTGCCATCACA